CCTGGGTTTCCCATGTACCATGTGGTGTCATACCCCGAAGGCTATTGGCTATTCTCTTGTTTGCTGTTTTTTTTTAACTAGAAATTCCCATCCTTGACTTGACAAACATTCCTGACAAAAGTTTCATCACAACGACTACGTTCCCACAAAAAGGTTCCGTTTCAATGAATTGTCATTTTCCAATTGAAAAACATTTAATCAAGAAAATTCCCAACCAGTTCTAGTTGCTGATGCTTTACTATTCTTTACAGTCTTGCCATGAACAGAAAATTAAGCTGAACACTCTTATATTTCAAGCTTATTATGAACCATTTTGGGGGAGTGATCTTATGTCCCTTTCATAGGGAGGTGCATAAGGAATATAGGATCACAGTCTTTTGTACAGTGTTTTCAGGCAGAAGCTTGCTATTGGAGTGTGCCATACTATTTTAATATTTTACAAAATCTTACTGACATTTCACCTCTGCCTCATGGATTTTAATGGGGCTGGGCAAAGGGCAAGGAAGTAACAGAATACTTAGCTTTATGCCACAATGACTTCATGCTTTATGATGATTGACTCCTATTCTGAGGACAAAGATTATAATACAAAGAAAATACCCTGTAATATTTATGAGGCAATTGTAAGAAGAATAAGAAATAGTGTAATCCTAACTCATCATTAAGTCTTCAGACTGTTTAGAAAATTCTTTTAAAAGGGATAAATTCTGCCCAGGGACTCAATGTTGTCACTTTGAAAAACTGCAGTGCAATAATTTTATTCATCTCCTGGTATACCACACATAGGAGAAGTGCAACAAATATGTGATAAGAAGTTGTGGGGAGATCTGAGGGCAGAACTGGTCCCAAAGACACTCAGGCCTGATTTTTCTCCTCTCCATTCCAGTTCCCCTGTTTGGAGTCCAGAGTGAAACTATTGCAAATCAGTCAGTCTGAAAGTGACTGAAAAGTACAGTAACTATGTAAAATGACACCTTTTTACTTTCACATCTGCTCCCTGTATGTATTTACCAGGGTGGATTTGATTTAAATCAAATTAATTAATCAGGAAGACTCGATTTAATCATGGATTTTTACATAAAAGTGCATTCTTGTTGGTTGTTATAACCTTAATACACATTCTTCACAACTCAGATATAGATGTAGGTTTCATTTTTAGAAGGTATACACTATACATTTTTAAAGTGCTTTATTTTGAAAACTTTTCAGATTAGTTTTACAGCTATATCAAAAAATGAATGATTGTTTGGTTATTTCATTTACCAAAGGTAATTGAAGCAGATATTTATGAAGTAATTGGGAGGTGAACTATCTTCAATTCAACAGATTAATCATTAATATTTGGAGGATTTTCTTGCCATGCTGTATTAGGAGGAGAACAACACCAGACAGACATTTAAATTGTTTTATTTAACTAAAACAACAACGTTATGTATTCTGGACTTTTTCTTCAACAGCAAACATATAATATTTTAACAAAACAAGCGTATGAACTTTTGAATTATTTAAACATTGAAGTTTTTTAAAATCAGGTTTGTTTCTGTTAAAATTGTTTTTAACTAAAATAGTTAAATGAAATAGTTAAAAAAATATATTAAATCCACTATGTCAGCCAGGTCAATGTGAGAAACTCAAAATATTGGCTTCTGCAGCTAACTCAGTCATCTTCACCTTCATTTTCCTGTTTGTTCGTAATCTGGAAAAGAAAAACAAGCTTTCCTGCTTTTTCAGGTCCCAAACGATTTCTCAATTTGGAATGAATTAGTCCAAAGGAAGAAAATATTCTTTCTACACCGGCAGAAGAAGCTACTGCTGTTAAGTGAGATTTATCACTTCAACAGTCTCTGAATCCAAGTGCTTAAGTGACTTCCACCAGTTCACTTGTGTGACTTTCTTTAAAACGTCATCAGCAAACATATATTTCTTGAATGGTTCACCCTTAGCCCTGAAGTTTATTATAGTTGGCATTATGGAGGGAGGATTGCTGGATGTCCATGTCATAGCCAACTCCTCTTCTTCAGCCGTTAAGGTTTGACCCTGGTACCGAGAATTGAGAATATTTGCAAGAAAATGAGCTAGAGATAGTGCTTGTCCCATTTTGTTTTTTTAATGCTTGTAATTTAACTCTGTCGTTGCATATTTCTCTTTTTAAGGTCTCACTCGGTTCCTTCCAAATTTCAATAGCGTCAGCAATAAAACAGCTATTTCCCTGCATTTTGTACAAGGCTACAGAAATAGGCATCACGGTACTCAACATATGTTCAACATTTCTCTTAAGCCCAATGTTGAGAACTTTGGCTGTGACAGTGCCATCTATTTTTTCATGATCTTGTTCACAAACTGTCATCAGATTAGGCCAGTTCTTGATACAGTGCTCAAAACAGTCCACTACTGAGTTTCATCACACGTCTTGTTGGAGAGTTAGCTTGGTTCCTCCCACTTTTTTCAGAGCAGCTGCTGCAAAGTGGTTGTAACGGAAGTATTTTGCAATTTCAACAACATTAGCCTTTATTTCTGGAACACTGAAGTCTTTGGCTAAGAGGTGCATCAAATGAGCAATGCAACCATATGTTATTAGCTTGGGACTCTCTTCTAAATTTCTTCTCATCTTGGACAAATTTGCAGCATTGTCTGTGACCAAGTTGCGTACTAGACATTTGAATTTTTTTCTCCATCCATCAAGACTCAGGTTAACAATTTCACCCTCTAGACCTTTTTCACACTGCTCAATTTCTCTTTCATACACTTTATCCAGCAATTTGCCTGTGACATCTGCTCTGTTGGGTGGACTGTATCCTGGTCTTAATGACTGAACCATGTTAATGAAGTGTGGGTTCTCAATCATACAGAAAGGAGAATTTGTTGCATAAACAAACCAGGCAATTTTTTCATATATTACCTCTTTTTGTAGTCTGCTGGTTCTTATCACAAACTTATCTATGGCTGTTTCTGGATGATGGAGATTTTTTTTCTTTTTGCTACAGGTGTTCTACTGTGGCTATGTGACATACATGATGTGACTGAAACACTATCATTGGCGATAACTCTGAAACTATAGAAAATGATGGTGATCTTGAAGGTGGATAGTCTTCAGAATCCTGTATGTTGAGGATGGATTCTCCTAAACAAAACAAGTCAATGCAGATATTTAATTATTATTACCATACTGCTCATGGTATTACACATTGCATTCACTGACATGCAGTACTACTTTAAAGGTGAAATTATAAAAGGAAGATCTGCCTATTTCAGTTATTTATTTTTTTATCACAATTGCATCTAAATGATAGTACCATAGAGTAACAACTATATTTTTTGCTCAAACATGAGAATTCAAGAATAGTCCAGAAGGAAGACAAGCAGTCCTTAAGAAAGAAGTATGAAATAAAAAAGTTTACCAACCTGAAGATCCTGCATGTTCAGACATGTTCCTTTCATCATCATCTTCAACGCAGCTTCCTCCTGAGAAGGAACACTTCTCATGATGTTGTTTCATTCGGGCAACCAGGCCTTACATTTCGTTCTTGCACTGTTTGCATTTTGCACGCATGCCTGTCTTACCCACAGGTAGAGGAACTTAATTAAAATATTCCCAAACTGGGTCTCTTTTACGGCCTGCTGCCATTATAGGTTTTCCTTTCTAGTGAGAGAATGGTATAATAGATCTCAAATCAATGAAGGCTACACTCAGAAAGACTTCAAGACTTCTGGAATATGCTGCTCAAACAGTTTCACTTTTGTTTCTACTGCCTGTCCCTCTCTTCTCAAATTTATCTCCAGACTTCTTCTCCTTGTCCAGATCTATTCCGCCCCCAACAATCTTCTATTCATTGAACTTTCTGAAACTTTGCACTTTTAGAGAGAGATAAGGGATTGACTCTGTGTACACAAATTTGCAGAGGGACAATAGGGCTTAGGTCTGTTATTTCTCACCTCTATATATTATTTAATTATGTATTTAAAAACATTTTTGCTGTTAACAAGCATATCGTCTCTGGAGACACAAATCCATAGTTTGAAAACTGCAAAACTAAGCATCTCTGATGGTATCTTCTAGACTGAGCACTGAGTCCCATTGGGTAGATAGAAAGATAAACCTACATAATCTATACAGAAGCCCCTGGGACCCCATACAATTGGTTCCCTAATCCATGAACTATTGGAACTCACTTACAAAAGTTTTCTTAAACATTACATGACTATATTGTGTCATACTATAGAATTAGAATTTATAATCCCTATTCCATGATATATCTTTGATGAGCTATAATGTATCTTAATTAAAACTATCTTTAGATAGGTTTTTTCCTCAAAAAGCATTTTATCAAAAAAATCCGATTTAAATAAAAAAATCAGATTTGTATTTATTTATTTTTTAAATCAATGATTTCTATGCACCCTGGTATTTACTAATATCAGCTGATTTTAGTGACAAAAATAACACTACAGAACAACACAAGTAAAAGAGAATGAGCTGGATTTTATTCTTCATTGTGAATCATCAACAACATTGTTTACTTAGTTCCTTTTTAATTATAGTTGTACAAAGCCACTGAAGGCCACATGACTGCACAAATGTCACAGAGGGCCTAATTTGGCCTGCAGGACTGTTATTGGCTATGAAGTACAAGAAGAAAAAAAGCCCAGTTTGACTCTCCAATTGCAGCACTGGCAATGACAGAAGATATCTTTTTAACTTGTAAATTGCATGTATTTTATGCAGAAATCGAGACAATAAACAATGGAAATCCATAAGGACATTTTTAGAGTCACTTCTCCGAGCTGAGCCACACTGGAAGATGAAGCTCTAACAATCAATATTATAACAAAGATGTGGTGGCATAAAGTTGTTTAGTTCACCGCAAATGTACCATCTCAGATCTCTTACTGCAGAGCTAATTTTGTTTGTGGTTTTTTAAACATTTTAAGCATTTTAAACCTTCATTTGGAAAAATAAAAACTCTCATGAAAAAGGAAATCATTCTAAACTTTTCACATACCACTCCGTTAACAGAAAGCAGCTGGTCTCCTCGCTTGAGTCCTCCATGTCTTTCTGCCACCCCTCCAGGAATTATACGAGAAATATATATAGGAGAGTTTTGTTCCTTTCCTCCCATCACGTTAAAGCCAAGACCTTCATCAGTCTTTGGCAGCTCCACCACTCGAGGGTGTGAATGGCCTTCACTTGCTGCAAAAGCAGCAACTGTTGCCTGGAAGAAAAGACAGTTATTTGGCCATGTAATGAGATCACTGTTAAGCCCTGTCGTTTGTTTTGCAGAAAGAATTCGTTCACATGAAAATAATATTTTGAAATTCTATCAAAGATTTGAAAGCACTTTACAAATGTTAAGTCTCAAATCACTCCTTTGAAATACTTGGGGAAACAGGCACTGAGAGAAGTTAAGTGACTTGCCCAATGTCACCCAGAAATAGATCCTAAAAGGACAGATTGCTAGTCATCTGTTCTAACTCTGTAACACATTACTTCTCTTTTTAAAGCAGCTTTGTCACTCACTTTTTTCCTTACTGCTGTGCAAGACACTGATATAACCTTCTGCTGTACTTCTAATGTATGTAATTTGGATAAAGTTAATTGCCCCCCCCAATATATATATGGGACTGATTATTTGGTTTATTCTTTGCCCCCAAATAAATCCTGAAGAAAGATATTTTCATTTAAACTCTTTTATTAAATAGCCTCAATAAAATCTTCCTCTTGAAAAAAGTGCTGATAGATTAATAACTTTTACAACAGGGGCATGAACTTTTATACTGTAACTGCACTTTATATAAATAGGACTAGAAAAGTAATGCTAAATAATCTTCAGATTATGAAAGTATAAAATGAATTCAACTAAATGACTATTCTCACTATAGAAAAATTACAAATATGTAAGGTATTGTAAATCTTGTATGAAGAAAAGAAAAACATTCTTTATTCAATCTTTCACTAGCAATTGTCTCTTTTTAAGTGTCGACCCTGGTAAAGCATTAAGTAAACATTAAAAAATTATTTTTACTTTTCAACATATCCTCAGATTTAAAATTACTGCAGTAATTCTACATTATGTTAATGCTTGTTCAGCATTCTAATAATGTTTATGCTTAATGGAAGCTAGTAGACGATATGAATATAATGGATTATTCTCAGTTATATGTACTTGCTCATGCAAACCTTGTCATCATGCATACATTTAAATGTCAGACATGAATGCACTAGGAAAATACAATGCAGACAGCCCAGAAATAACCAGGAAGTATTGCGATATTCAAACATTGCTCTGTAACCTTGCTGTTCTATATGAATAAGAAATGAGAATGGCAAACACTATTCAGAATTTTTCACCCTTTATTATACCACATAGCAATCATTTTTGTGTTTGCCTACAGTGTAAACAAATCATAATCTAACATAATTTTCTACATTCAGTAGTAGAACCTTTACAAATCTACATTGTTCATTTGAAGTTTCAATTAGATAAAGGTTAACTCATAAGAAAAAAACCTAACTCAATATAACAAAAATGAAATAAAAAATCAAATGTAGGAAAATATTTTGGTTACTGTACAGTAGGCTAATTATTTTAAACGTACTGGTTACCATAGGGAACATTTCTCTGAAATACTGTAGGTGTCTTTGATATGTATTTTTGATCTTTGTGTGTTTTTACTGTTGTCTTAGGTTTTGTTTTTATTTATTTGCTGCTTTTCCCCTAGTGTAGCTTTACAAGGGTGTAATCACATTAAAACTAGTGGGATTTTGCCATTGACTTCCCTGGGGGAAGGATTGGGTCTTAATGAATTATTTTCCTGAAAAAATACCATGGTTTTCCTAGAATACGCTTACTGCACGATATCTACATAACCCGTTTACCATGTGGCGGGTAATCTTCCTTTACCATTTGGTACAGAGGGAGTAATTCCATGATGAAGCCCTGTTGGAAGCAATTATTTTTGTTCGTGCACTGAAAACACAAAGCATATTACATATTGGGTACAATAGGGATTCTTCCATCAATACAGGGGAATTCACACATCGTTACCACTCACTTTTCTCAGACTTACATACTTGGGCCCTGTCTTTCAGAAGTGATGGGCACCCACAGCTCCCATTGACTTCAATTGGAGTCTTCTGTGCTCAGCACCTCTGAAAATCCTACATGCATTGATTGGAGGCTAGACCACCTGCTACTTGGGATGAGCCTTATAGGAGAATTTGTCATAAAAATATTGGTATTCCAGGTTTAATTCTACAGAATGAACCAGTAGATTTGCTTTTGCAAACTGATTTTTCAATAAACCACCAAATCCCATGATATCATTCTCTTTTCTTAAGCTATAGAAGCAGCACAAAGGTTAAATTTGCCATTAGGATTGTTACCTGGGAAGTAGCACTGGTTCTAGACTCTGGGCTGCCACTGATGTCTAAATTTTCTTACAGAGCACACACGAATACCTGAAACACACACGCGCACAGTCAATTACTAGGTCACTTTGGTAACATGTACTTCAATAGTTGCACAGGTCTTACCTTTGCAGTGGCCCTGGCACGGAATTCTGGGCAGCCATTAACAGTTATGGTTTCATGCATATATTGATATACCTAAAATGTTCATGGAAATAAAGAGGAATTAATTATAGGAACAAAACCTTAATTTATTTTACCCTATCCAGGATACACTCTTTCCATCATAAGATGGTTTCATTAATGTTCCATTAGTACAATTAGGGAATCCTGTGTTTGTTGCCCTAGCTGTACATTTAGTTCCCTTGAAGACATTCTGTGCAATCCTCTGTCTAAGTCTCCCAAAATTGCTCCCTGGCCATGTCTGCCTTGGACTGTGTCAATTGCCTCTGACAGGAACTTGTTGAGTTTCTGTGACCTCTGAACCCCCTCATGAATTGGGAAGTCAGGAGGCGGAAGTAAAAAACAAAACAAACCCCCCCCCCCAACCTTTTCTGATAGGGTCTGCGGAGGGAAGTCCAAATTAAATCTCAGGGAATTTAATTGTAGAACGTGGGCATCGTACTCAGCACTACAGACCTTCACCATCTAAGCTTGGTGGTGGTGGTGAATTTAATCTTTGCTGTAACTTATTGGCATTAGTCTGTCATGACAAATAGTGGGGAATAAGGGATGGCAATCTGGGTGGTAGGTTAGCAATGGTTAACATTGGGGATGATCCTTGATGGATTGGGACCCTGTGTAGCCACACAAGTTATATAAAATGAAGAATCCCAATAGCTGTAACTTTCTGCACAATGTTCTCTTCCTTGCTCCCCTTTCTCTTGCCCCTAACCCCCCTTTTCATCCTTCCCCCTTAGATCTTCTCTCTTAAAGAATAGGGAGATGGCATCTTCTCTTACGGTGTTATCCTGGGTCCCCAGGAATGAGTGCAGAGAGGAGGTGATGGAGTTCTGATACCCTGCCCTGGTGATGAACAACCTTTTATTTTATGTTATTTTATTTTGTTTTTTAAATTAGTGAGGGGCTGATGGGAGTTATAGATGAGCAGAGGCAGAAAAGGCTCAGGCAGCAATCCAAGAAATAGAGCCTGGGTACCAGTTGCACTACCCCCTTCCCTTATCCGCCTGGTAGCCCAAACCACATGCACAACTCATCAGTGTGGGTTAGAGAGGAGAGTCCGTTCTTTCTAGGTAGCTGCCATCTTTAGGCAACAGATGTTGGAATTCACAGGCAGCCTGGTAGGACAGAACAACACTGCTAGGAAAAAACTTGAAATGTGGAACATCCCACATAATGCTTGACATCTGAAAGGTATGGTCAGAATCCCATATAACCTTCCGTGTAATGTCTACAAGAAAATATTTATTAGCCACATGTAACTCCTCTGTTAGCAGTTCTCTTACAAAGCTAGAGCTTTTGCCAGTTCTTAGAATTTGTCTTGAGCCAGAGTAATAAAATTCAAAAGGAGAGTCTTATTTCTGTGGAAACTTGGACAGACAATTAGTATCTCTTGTGGCTTGCCTATTCTGAAAAAATCAGTTGGCCCCTAAATATTTCCAGCTGTACTGGGTAAGATCTACAGAATGCCCTTTCTGTATCTGATATACAATTCAGTATTTTTCTATAGCATTGTTTATACAGTTTCACGCTGCACAGATTAATTTGTATGTACAAATGCGGAGTAAATTTTACATTTGCAGTTACACTGTACCACACAGGTAGCATGTGCAGATGTGGTGGGGGAGAGCGGAAGAAGGATGCAATGGCTAAGTTTAGGGATGGAGAAGTTTTTTGGGTTTTGGTTTTTTTACATGAGAGGTGCAGCTACCCCAATGAAGAAGGGAGAATGCAATGTGCAGGTAGGTGGAAATCAAGGTAATGGCAAAACAAGGGAAGGGCTATCTAATAGATAACTGAAATTTTTTATAGCATCCAAATGTAGTAGGCACTTTCCTACAGAGTGGAGAACTCTTTGATTATCACCAGCATAGAAATCATCCTGGGGCTGAATTCTGAACAATAGTGTCTAATGGGGATAAAACAGATTAAGGGAACAAGATGAAACCTTTTGCCCATCTCTTGTTAGGGTGAAATCCTGATCCTGTTGAAACAAATGGCAAAACTTACATTGCCTTCAGTAGGGCCAAGATATCACCCTAAAACTTAAAAATAAATAAATAACAAATAATAACCAGGTACTGAGATCACTGACTCGGTAATCATTTCTTTTTTGTACGATGACAGTGAATTGTGTTGAGAATTAACCACAACATTCTATCAAGCTAAATCCTGAGAAGTTATTTGAGATGTTGATTATATAACTTGGAGAAGCCAAGGGGTGGTGGGTATTCATATAGTCAGCAGTTATCAAGCAGAACTGATATGACTCAATAGTGTCTGTATATTATCAGTGTGTATATGGCAGGTTGAGGTTGAGGCAGAGGCTACATAGGTAACTAAACTGCATACTGATGAGAGAACAAGGCTTTTAGAATGCCATTGAGCCAATGTAATGTTTGCTGTCTGTCTTTCTTTCTGCAATCAGTCATACAAAAGCAAGAACTTCAAATCTTTCCAGTCACTAAGAATTTTTTAAAATTAGCAAATTTAAGATGGTGTTCTCTAAAGAATTGTCAGTATCACCATGGTGACCATAACATCTGTAATATAGTTCTATTCGGACAGGAATTTATCTTGTAATTTAAAACCCCTTCACTACAAGCAATTGATGCTATTACCCTTGAATATCAGCTTGATGCAACAGCAAATCCAGTTACCCTACCTGATTGTCACATAATGCTTAATATAATTTGAGATTAAGAGAGATAAAATATACATCTAAATGACTTTCACATTATTAAGTTAAACAAAACAATAAAAGGATTAACTATACCAGTTCCAACAAGACCTTGAGGCTTTGAGTATGTTACAGATTACTTGTTGTAACATCATATACAAAGCATATAGAGCTCCATAAATAACTACCATATGTCTGTAGCCACAATATCTCTTTTATCTAAATTATCTCAGTATCACTTCAGACATTTAGATTATATTGTGCACAAAAAAATGGACACAAGCAATCAATTCTGTTGCCTATCCTATGTGTACACATACACTAAAAATGTTCTTTGTTCTCAAGGTAAAAAAGATCATTTTTATTTTCAGAAGGGAACACAGCTGTTTTTTTTCAACACGCAGTATATGTCAAGGACAGAAACAGTTTTTAAAATCTTATTGCCAATTCCAACATCAGCAATACATCCAATGAAAGATTTCTTAACATACTGCAATTCTCATAAATACAACAGAATTTTTTTTAGAAGATTCACCAAAGATTTACTCAGATAAAACATCACTCATGATAAATCAAACATGATGACAAAGGTACTGTACTATAATTACAAGTGTCTGAATTAATCTTTAGGGACATTTATTGAAGAGGTCTTTGAAAATGGTGTCCTGTGGTGCCCATGAAACACCAATCACCTTGAAAGACCATGTGGGATCCAGTTTAATGTGCCATGTCTTTTTTGTCATTTCAGTGGAAAAGCAAACAGACTATAATTGCTTTCATTTTAATCTTTTTTTCTCCAACAGAAATAATGTGAATATACAAATAAAGCAAGAAGAAGTCAAAGGTTCAATTTAATTTAAAGATGTTTGCCAGTCTAACTATCCATATAAAAAGAAAAATCCCTACTTTTTCCAAATAATATTGCAGGGTTATAGCCCAGAGGTTTTCCTTGCCACCAAAGTGAACTGTAAACTATAATGAAGTATCATCAACAAGCTGAGGCACTGAGACATGAGGAAGTAGCATGAACATTACTACATTGCAAAGCACTTGATATTAAATTTTGTGTGTATGGTTGGTGAAATGGTGGCCTGTTCCTTAACGGGCCTGGTGCCTGGTCAGTTATCAGACCCACTGGAAAGGGAGTGAGTGATTATAAAAGCCAGCAAGTGGCTCATTTGAGGGGGAACAGCAGGGAGAAGCTGCAGGAAGGGGCAGGGTCCTGCAGGAGCCCCTGCGAAGGAAGGCAGGCTCCATGTGGTAAGTCCTGGGACTTGCGGCTGGCTAGGAAGCCTCATCTGACAGACTCCATTTTCCTTTTATGAGTTTGTCGATATACGGACAATAAATGGAGCCCAAAGCCAAGGTTTAAAGACTAATTTGGTATGGCTGATAATTCCCCAGGCTGGTGATGAGGCAAGTATCTTATAGCTGGTTTTTAAAAGTGTAAAGTGCCTAAAATTCTAGATGGATACTGGTAAATAAATAAATACTGAAGACCAATATGTGTAAGAGCTTCACTGATTGGTACTGACCACTCTAGTATACGCACTACATGGAAGCCTTCATTTTAACATGAAGGAAAGTAAAAATGGTTAACATCCATTGTGCTGTCTGTTTCAAGAAAAGCTTCTAAAGCCAGGTATTTATTGTGCAATATTTATTTCTTAATCTAAAATACTGAAAATGAATGTCACTGAAGCTGCAAAGGCTGTTTTGGAGGCACAGGGTTGGAAGGTTGGTTGGAAGGGCACTAGGGAAGAATTCAATTGTAGTAGCAACTGCGAGGATGGGGAAAGACCACAGAAGAAACTGGGGAAGCCATCCCCACAAGCAATTTATAAAAATGGAGCTGCAGGTGAAATTTCATTATTTCCAAACAAAGAGCTGCAATTGTAGGTTAAATGGTGACATTTCACCTTTTCTTTGAGGAAAAAAAAATGATTTCTAGGAAGAATGTCAACTCCCACATGTGAACGTTCATGAAGCAAAAATGTGATGTATGTAGGTATTTATTTTTTATTCATGCAGCTCTAATTTGCCGTATGGAGCCAGAAATACCTAGCTTTGCGTTCCACTTCCATATGCCACATGCAACACAACACTCTTATCGAGAAGCACTCCAGATAGCGTGAATATAGTATTCAGCCACCATTTATGTAGCTTGTACAATTAGGAGCCTTAGCTATAATAAACTAGGTAGGAGCTTTAGCTATAATAAGCTAAAGCTGCTCCCTCACAGTACTTTGCAATCCATGCCGTTCTTTGCAGTGAATCCCCATTGGAGCACAGGAGTTTTAGCTGGCATAGGGAGGTGTACATTATAATAATAAGTACC